GGGTGGCCTCTAAGTACAAACGCCTCACCACATAGCCAGAGGCAGCCTGGGCCTTTGTAGTGTGGCCAGCTGGGGTTTCCATTTGGCAGCACCATTCACCTCCTATGTTCCTCCGCTATAAGTTGGGGATCCCAAATCCTACCTGGAGGGACTGGAGGATTCATGGAATAAGATGTGTAAGTGCCTGGTGTGTGGACAGCAGATGGTGGTTCTGTTCCCTCTTCCTTCATTCTCCCACTTGAAGGAGGACCATGTCACAGCCCACCTGAGCCTCTGTTTTCTCATCTGTACACAGGCATCACAGTTCCTACCTCAGCAGTCTCTAGCCGTCACAAGGTTCAAGGGATATTGTGGATGTGTTTTAGACATGGTGGCCCCTGGCACAAGTGGATGGTGTTTGGGGCTGTCCCATGGCAGTGTGTCCCAGTAGAAAGGCAGGGTAGCCCAGTTGTTTACTCCTGACTTAAACCTGAGCCTCGGTTTCTTCTTCCATGAAACAGGGTTAATAATGGTACCTTATTCGTGTTACTGTTGAGAGAATGAGAAGCAACTGTGCTCATCCAGTGGTCAGCACAGAGCCCAGGAGGCAATGGCGCCAGCCAATGTAGTCACTATCACTGATCAAGCCTCTCTCTCCCTACAGGCTACGAGCAGCAGCAGGAGCAAGAGAAGCTGGAGCGAGAGATGGCATTGCTGCGCGGTGCCATCGAGGACCAGCGGCGGCGTGCCGAGCTGCTGGAGCAGGCTCTGGGCAACGCGCAGGGCCGGGCGGCTCGAGCTGAAGAGGAGCTGCGCAAGAAGCAGGCCTATGTGGAGAAAGTGGAGCGGCTGCAGCAGGCACTCGGGCAGCTGCAGGCAGCCTGTGAGAAGCGGGAACAGCTGGAGCTGCGTCTGAGGACTCGTCTGGAGCAGGAACTCAAGGCCCTGCGTGCACAGCAGGTGAGCTGAGAAAACCTGTGCAGGTGTCCAGGCTAGGGCAGCATCTGAGGATGTCAGCTTCCTTTCGTCCTCGGGGACTGTAGGTTTGGAGGCCAGGGCTGAGGCCCCAGGAGCCCCTAGTTAGATCTAGGCTGCAGGCCCCTTGCGGGGCGGCAAGGATGATTGCTCTCTGCTCCACCTTTGCTACGTGCTCCCTTCCACTTGTCGTCTTAGCAGAGGCCCTGCCACCTGGCCCACATCCAGCCTCAGGGGACTCCTGTCCTCGGCAGCAGCAGGGTATATTGTCCTTGACCTCTAGAGAAAGTAAGTTAGGAACCTGGTTATAGAAGGCCCTCGAGCTTTTTTTTGTTTGTTTTTTTGAGATGGAGTCTCACTCTGTTGCCCAGGCTGGAGTGCAGTGGCGCAATCTCCACTCACTGCAACTTCTGCCTCCCAGGTTCAAGCGATTCTCCTGCCTCAACCTCCTGAGTAGCTGGGACTACAGGCACGTGCCACCACGCCCAGCTAATTTTTGTATTTTTAGTAGAGATGGGGTTTCACCATATTGGCCAGGCTGGTCTTGAACCCCTGACCTCATGTCATCCACCAGCCTTGGCCTCCCAAAGTGCTGGGATTACAGGCATGAGCCACTGTGCCCAGCCACCAGCCAGCTTTTATATGCCTCCCTGAGATTGGGAGGAAAGATGGTTGCCCTAATCCATAGTGCTTAACCTCACTTTGGACTTCTGTGTAAACAACTCTTGGTGTTTACAAACCAAATAGCTATTTCTCCACTCCCAAGCCTACCCTTGTGACAGAGTTAGCATGGCTGAACCCTCGGTTTGCCCAGTTCTGTTCTAATTTACACCAATTTCCCCACTATAATTATTGATAGCACCCCCTTTGCCAGTTTGGAGGATTATTTGTTTGGTCTCTATGCCCTTGGCCATAGGATTCAGGGCAGGGGTATGGGGACCTGTGCTGTACCCCCATTTCGGTAGAGGAAGGATGGGGAAATGTATGCTGTGTATGGCTGAACACGCACATGTAAGAGTGACAGTCCTTGTGTGGAGGCGAAGACCAGTGGCTGCCGCACCCCAACCTCCACCCTTGACCACGGTCTCCACTCCTTGCTCTGCAGAGACAGGCAGGCACCACAGGTGGTGGCAGTGGCAGTGGCAGTGGCGGGTCCCCAGAGCTCAGCGCCCTTCGGCTGTCAGAACAACTGCGCGAGAAGGAGGAGCAGATCCTGGCGCTGGAGGCCGACATGACCAAGTGGGAACAGAAGTATTTGGAGGAACGTGCCATGAGGCAGTTTGCCATGGATGCGGCTGCCACGGCTGCTGCCCAGCGTGACACCACTCTCATCCGACACTCCCCGCAGCCCTCGCCCAGCAGCAGCTTCAATGAGGGTCTGCTCACTGGTGGCCACAGGCACCAGGAGATGGAAAGCAGGTTCGGCATTGCAGGCCAGGCACCTGAGGTTTGGGAGGCGGGTGGCAATGTCCAGTCACTGCCCTGCCCTTGATCCTGATAAACAAGCCGCTTTCCCCACACAGCTCAGCAGTCCCTCATGCTTCTGAGCTGAACCTGCATGCTTGGCACACCAGGCGCTGTAAACTGGCATTTGCCTAGAAATACCGAGTCCTTGGTCTACCCAGTAGACTTTTACTGTGGAGGTGTTGGGTGCCGTTTAGGGCTTGGGCCCTGCCTCCCCTCTCCGGAGTGCTGCCCTCCAGGATGAGGGCTGTGCTGCCGCTATCATCTGATGACTCTGGAACCCACCCTTGATGGCCTGCCTTTCCTGGTGTGGGAAGGGCCCAGGGCCTTATGCACTGGTGGTTTTCAGAGCCTGGGCTCTAAGAGCATCACATGCCAGAGCTGTGGTACCATTTCTAAGCCCCCTCTAGGTCCCTGCTACAAGCACAGAAGGATCCAGCCTGGCCGGGTTAGGGGAGGGAGGGTGCTTTTCCTCTAACTCCTATGAGGCGGGAAGGGTGGCTGGATCTATGGGTCTGACAGTGTGGGCATGGCCTTTCACCCCTCAGGTTAAAGGTGCTCCATGCCCAGATCTTGGAGAAGGATGCAGTGATCAAGGTCCTTCAGCAGCGCTCCAGGAGAGACCCTGGCAAGGCCACCCAGGGCTCCCTACGGCCTGCCAAGTCGGTGCCATCTGTCTTCGTGGCTGCAGCAGCAGGAACCCAGGGCTGGCAAGGGCTCTCTTCTAGTGAGCGACAAGCAGCAGACGCCCCTGCTCGGCTGACTACAGGTAAGAGGAGGCTGCTGCTGGGATAGATTGAGAGGTAGTTTCTCCTGGGCCTGAACACAGATTGCCAGACCTTTCCTCCCAGAACTGAGGCTCATGGGAGCCAGGGCTTCCTGATTGTCTCCCAGGGGAGCTGGCTTACTCTCTGCCTCCAGTGACTCTACAGCCCACGCCTCTCCTGCCAGTGTGAAGAGGGGTATTTAGTCCCCATCTCCGTAAATTCCATCATGCTTCAGCCCCAGCCACTGAACTGAGAAAAATAGAGCTTCCTGTGCAGATGCACCTTCTATGCAAGCCCCCTCCACTCTTCCTTCTAAGCAGATGCCACAGAAACTCTAGAAGATTTAATCTACAAAGAAGGGTCCCACCACCCAAAACATTTGGAAGCCAATCCAATCTGGTAGTCATTCCCATTTTAAAATAGGAGCATTTTTAGTCTTAAAGTTCTTGCAGATCAAGAGCAGCCCACTCCACCTTGAATCCCCAGCAAGGACAGTTAACTTACAGTGTCCTTCACCAGGGCCACATCTTACAGGTGTGGCAATAACCATCCACCTACCTTCCCAGCAGACAGGGCACCCACAGAGGAGCCAGTGGTCACATCTCCCCCTGCTGCCCATGCCAAACACGGGAGCAGAGATGGGAGCACCCAGACTGACGGCCCCCCAGACAGCACCTCCACCTGCCTGCCACCGGAGCCTGACAGCCTTCTGGGGTGCAGCAGTAGCCAGAGAGCAGCCTCTCTGGGTAAGTCCTCCTGACCCCACTTCTGTGCTAGGCAGGGCCAGGGGAGCACTGGGGTGTGAACTGGAACACCAAAGCCTTTTCTTCCCAGCCCCCTCTGGGTCATTGCCTGTACTCCATGGGGAGCCCTGCATAGCCAGAGGTGAGCAGCGTGCCTGGCCCGCCTCACTGTGAACATGAAGGGTGGCTGGCTGCATGAATACGGAAACTGGAAACCCTGATTAGAGGCAGATCCAGAATTCAGAAAGAAAGCAACCAGATGGGAGGCACTTAAGCTCCTCTTTCATGGTCTTCCCTACATAGTTAATTTCCAATTTGATTATCCAAGAGAATGGAGCTTGCAAGTCATGCCGATGGCACTCTGGAAGCCTGTTGAGAGTCCGGGAAAGAGAAATCTGAGAAGATGCCATTTCTTTTTCCACTCCCCTTTCACACTGGCCTTTGCATATTTGCCTGTGCCTCCTGATCTCAGAAAACCACAGGCATGAAAAGAATGCTGCAGCCTCCCTCCCTCAGGCTCTCCATTGCTCTGTCTAAGCCCTCCAACCAGTTCAAAGTTAGAAACAAATGCATCTTACACATGGGAGGTTGGTGGGCTGGGCTGAGCACTGAGAGGGTGCAGAGCATTGTGCTTGGTTGACCAAGTTCTGGGAACCTGGGCAGCAGAGGTGGGAAAAGTTGGTGAAGAAAGATCGTTGTATTTAAAATGTGCCAGGATTTTAAAAGCAGTCTAGTAACACTCATTGGCATGTGCCTGTGTTCTTGTCTCTCTCCAGACTCTGTAGCTACATCCAGAGTCCAGGACTTGTCAGACATGGTGGAGATACTGATCTGAAGGAGGTGGTGCTTCAGGACTCTGAGCCATTCTCTCCCCTCCTCTGCCCTGTGCCACTCTCAGCCATTTCAGCAGCCTGTCAGCCGCTGCTTTGTCCCTTTCCCCAGCCAGACTCTCATTCCCATTGACCATCTGGTCCCAGGAGCTCAGGAGGAGGACCCCAGGGGAGAGGAGAACTGTGAGAGCACCAGCACCCCCAGAAGACTCTGCTTCTTAGCCCACATTCCTCCCGGCCTTATGGAGAATGAGGATTCAGCCTTGACTTGTTGCCCAAGGCCTGCTACTGGGGTAGCAACTGACAGCTCAGAAAGGAGCTGAGCTCCCTCTGCCCTGCCAGTTGTCAGTCAGGCAGGGAGGGAGGGGCTGTGTTGGTTTGGGGGACTAATTTCCCAGGACGGCTGCCCGTGGACACCAGGCAGACTGGTTCACTAATCAAGTCAGCCATATTGTTCTCTGGCTAAGTTTGGTTCCAGCCAACCTCATCTGCTCTTCAGTTCCTCACTGCCTTCCTGGGATACTAAGACTTGAATCTTTTGGCGACTATTAAGGGTGTTAGTCTTGGAGAAGCCACAGCCTCACCTTCTCACTTGCTGTGGGTTAGGGGCCGTTAAGTGGACTGGGAGACAGTGTGCAGTTTGTATATAATTCCCTTTCTTGTGGAACAGAAGACTGAGGCTTGCAGGTTCTGATGTGTCTCCATGGGCTGTGCTCCCCTCTTCCTACTGTCACAGTTCCTGAAACTTCTGACTGGCCTCCCAGTTATGCCTCCTCCTCAAGTTCCTGGCCCGTGGATGTTAAAGCTGCTTGATTCCCAGGATCTCGGCTGCCTTTTCCTCCATCTTGAGCCCTATAAATGCCCACGGGACCCCCACCACCAGCCTCTTGAATGGCTCCACAGCTCCTGTCCCTGGGACATCCTGTCAGTTTGGTCGTAAACCCTGAGCCAGATGAAATGAGCCACCTTGAACAGACACCTGCCGTACCCCCAGGTGGGCTGCAGTGGCCCTCCCCAGTACCAGTTCTCTCTGAGAAACTGGCGATGTTGTCTTGTCCGCATAAATAAGTGTCTTTGTTCCCACCTGGAGGGTTTGGGAGAGGAGCAAAGCGGTTGAAAACTAGTTAATGAGCTACCAGAGTCAAATAGTCATCTGAATGGAGCCCCCATCACAACACAGTGCCCAGGAGGCTGGCTCCTCAAGCTACCCATGCCCAGCGCCCTGAAGCAGGACCAGATGCTTTGGAATTGGGGTGGAACACCCCCATGGCAGCCTGCCAGCAGCAGTGACTCCGACTTCTGGTCTTAGAGAATCCCTCACTTCAGCCCCAGGAGCTATTGGTGGGTTTTAGCAGTTTTGTCTTTACCGTTTTTAGTTCTCCTTGATTCTTTGTGTTCTTCCTTTATCGTTTTTAGGTTTGGTGTGTGTTGTTTTATTTCCATGGTTCCTCAAGTTTCCTTTTTAAACATTTGCATTTGCTGGACAATTGCATATTTTTTTAAAATTCCCCTACCCCCGTTTAAAGCTGAAAAATACATTTGGTTCATGTGCATTGTTTACAAAACAAAAAGAAAAAAGAGAAAAAAAGGCAAAAAATATCGTGAAAGAAAAAAAAAAACGACTTAATATATTTTGGATTAATATTTGGTATTTCTTTTAAAGTATTTTTTGTGCTGTGAACGTTTTCTGCCAAAGACCATGATGTGTGTCTGTATGTTTAAGTTATCGTAAATATTTAAAATGTAAACATGGCTGTTTTGTTATGCCACCCTGTACCAGGATTGCTGCCGCATTCCACTGGGTATAACAGTATTTTAATTAAAAAAAATAATTAAAAGTGATGTCTTTGCACAGGTGAGACTTTGCACTGAGGGAAGGGAAAGGGTGAGGATTTTGGGGGGCCACCCAAGTCATAGTCCAGTCTCTTCAAGGACCCAAAATAGAATCTAGGAATTTTGTGAAGCTGCATTAAGGACAGAGTTGGAATGAGGATATGGTTGGCATTTTTCCCCTTTCATAGGTAACATTTCTTGAAGACTGGGAGGGGAAGGAGGGCCTGCCAGATGGCAGCCTCCCCAAGTAGCTCTGTTCTAATCAGCTTTGTTTGGCCACATGCTGTGGTTATCCACAGTGGGAGTGGGTGTCCCAAGATGGCTTTATCCTTCCCCCACTCCTTTTCCCACTCCCACCTAGCATATAAAGTCTTGTCCGAAACCGTCCAGAAGGCCAGGCATCATGCAGAGGACATTCAAGGACGTGGCGTGTTCTTAGCCACTGCCTCCCTCCTTTGCTGTGACATCACCACTCTTTCCTGATGCTCAGGAAAGCATATTGCTCCAATTCAAAAAAAAGAGAAAACCATTCTCAGTCTTGCTTGTTCTTGTATCAGAAACAAAATACCTGCCTTGTGCTTCTACAAGTGTGGCAGGACACTGAGGTTCCCCGTCAGAATGTGGCCATTAGTCCACTGGCCATGAGGCAGCAGCAGGCTACCAGACAGCCTACATGTCGAATGGTTCCCCACCATGGCGGTGAGTGAAGTGTTTCCAGGACCAGTGTGGGAACTCGGGAGCCATGTTGATGAGTAACTAAGTTGAGATCCTAAAGAAGGTGTCTTCCCGAGCCAGCCTACCAGCCACAAGTATGGAGACAAGCAGGTGGAAGAATTGGAAGCATCCAAAAACTTTTTCAGCAACTTTGCAGATGGTGATAGGCCCCACTGGATGAGGAGCTCTCCATACAGAGGCATCAGACCCACCCCATGGCCACACCTCCACCCAACCCTCCAGCCTGCCTCCTGCCACTGAGGCAGCACCTATGCCGGCCTTCCTCCCATTGAGACCTGAACTGGAGTCAGGTTACTCACCTGAGATGCAGGCCTGGTCCGTGGAGGCAGCCTGAACAATAGGGTTCCTCACCCTCCCACCACTGCTCCTCCCTGGGCCACACCAGCCCATGGCTACATCTTCTGAGGCTTGCTGTCCAAAACAAAATGGTCAGTGCCTGTGGCAGGGAGTTCCAAAGGACAGCTTGGCAACTCAGACCTGTGAACAATAAGCCCTGACAACAGTGCCATCTCACCCCAGTACCTTTGGCCAGGGGCTTCCAAAGCATCTGCACCTTCTGTGAGATCCAGTCTGTGGAAAGTCACGTTAATGTTTCCTTGGCATAGACCAAGGAGAACAGGAAATCAGTCCCAGTGTACCCAGCACATGTACGTGCATGTGCATTTGTGTGCATGTGTGCACATGCGTGCCTCACCATGTGTCCCAGAGACAGGTGTGAGGGGCACCGATATCTTCCGGCTAGTGTCCCTGCAAGGCATGGGTGCTCTCCAGCCACATGGTCACCAGTGCATCTGAGTGACCTTTCCTCTGAGGAAAGGGGATGAGTGAGCTGCTCGGTGCCCTGTGAAATGCAGTCTAATGGAGTTCCGGACCTAGTGAAGCTGCAGGCTGCGGCAGGGATGGTGAGGCCCTGGCGGGGGAGGTGTTTGCCCTCTGTGTCTAACACCTGTGAAGGGGTGGAGCCTGGGCCGGAACCCAGGTGGCTCAGCGGGGCCCTTTGGAGCCCAAGTTCCTCTTTGAGGGGCAGCCCTAACCTGCCTGCCCTGCCTCCACCCAGTGCCTCCACCAACCGGGCTGGGGATGTGGCTCGGGGGCAGCCCATGGCTCCAAGGGCAGGAGGGCAGCCTATGAGTGGCTGCCCCAGCCTCTCTCACTTCTCTCACCTCCTGGTTAATTGTTAACTCTTCCCCTGGCATAAGTATGTGCCAGGCTCAGCAAGCTTGGTGAAAATATGCCAAGACAAGGGCAGAAAAATGGGGCCCAGTCACCCAGAGATAGCCAAAGCCATTTTACAGCCCCCGAAGAACTCCAGCTACACAGGAAAGCTTGCAGTACCACTCTGCCATCTCCTAGCACAAGTAAGGGGCTGGCCAGGATGAAGTCGTCCCTCAGCAGGCCTTGCTGGGAGTGACTGACCCTTCTGGAGGCGGTCCAGAAACCCCCGCAACCAGCAGTGCATTCCTGGACGTGCCATGCCTGGATCTAACACTTGGGAGAAGTGCCACAGCAATGGAACGCTCAGCATCTTTTTTTTTTTTTCCAAACAAGGTAGAATTCACATACCATAAAATTCACCCTTTTGAAGTGCATCATTCAGTGGTGTTTTGTATCACAGCATCTACTTTAAGCCAGTGGTCAACCACAGGTCATCACCAAATGCGCCACCAGTGGGCCATATGGACACAATTAGAAGTGTTATTGGATCTGCTGCCTTCACACTTGTCGGCTCCTCTTTCCTAGGCTGACACTTTGAACTTTCTATTGCAGACAGTCCCCTTTCACCTATCCTGGGCCCAGCAGCCCCAGAGCACCTCTGCTGGGCTACAGCCAGGACACTATCTGCTCTGAGCTGGAGCCTCCCACATCTCATTCCCTAGGCTGCCAGGGTGGAGGTCCTGAGGTTTGGAAAGGAGGCCCGTGAGCCCTGAGGCGCCCATGTCTGCTAAGGTTTTCCGGAGTCAAGGAGCATTGGCAGGGGTGGGTCCAATTTTGTGAGGTCTGAAGCTTGTATAATTTAGAGGACCTTCTTTAAGAAAAAGAATGCAAAATGGTGAATACAAAATTAGGTCTAGAGTTTTGGAAGGGGCCTGTTCTAGTGAGCACCCGAGCTACAAGGTTCATTAGCTTCACAGTAAATCTTTGCCTGCCTGGGCATTGGGCATTGTGTTTCCCTGATGGGAATGGAGCTCTGGGAAGTGCCCAGGACTTCGGTTCATCCTTGTCTCTCCCAGGTGAGGCTTGGATCTGGAAGTCAATGAAGTTGGTTTTTCTTCTGCAGATGAAGTGGCTGGTTCTGGATGTCCACTAAAAACAGCCCCTTCTGTAGGGCAGAGGTACCCATAAAGGGAGCCTGGGGTCCAGGTGAATGAAGGGGGTATCACCGCAGAGCCTGGACGAAAGGGCTGACCAGTTCGCTGAGGACCAAACTGTAATTGACTCTCATGTGCACCCTGCTCTCACCCACCAGCCAAACCTCCAGCCCCCAGCGGGAGTGGGAGTGGGGCATATCTGACAGTTGGCTCTCGGAGTGCCCTGGAGAGCCATGCCACTTGCACTTGATTGCAACAGGGACACATTCTACTCTAGTCTGTGGGCCTGTCAGCTTTTGAATCTGAGCCAGCCCGGTGTCATGATCTGTCCTGAGATAAATGCCTCTTGCAAGTCCAAAGGCTCCTACCTGGGGGCACATTCCAGATGTGTTGGGCAATAATTTGGTTATTTCCCTGCACAGGTTTGTCTCTTCTTGCATCAAGTTGGCCTTCTTTTCAAGCTTCAGGAGCCTTGAAAAGAGCCCTACCCAGTCTCTCTTCTGAAGCCTTTGCTTGCTCAACACAGTGTACTATGGAAATCTTCAGAGCATGTTGCATTATGGCAAAAATACCAAAATCTCAACCATAGAGTGACTAACTACAAAAACCACAGCTAGGTTTGCCTTGAAAATTACAATAACCCTTTTTAACTTAAAAAAAAACAGGCCCCAGAAATCCAGGATTTCTCCTAGATGAATACATGAACCTGAGGTCTTTTTGTCTGAAGTTTGATAGAATATCTGCCTGTGTGTTTTCTTGCTTCATCGTTTTTTCCTATTTTTGAAATTCGGTCACAAAAAAATTACAGGAAATAAGTGGCTTTGAAATAATTTATTCAAAGGTTTTTAAAAAGTAACCTCCAAGTGTCAAATGGAGAATTAATTGAAGAAATGAATTTAAAGCATATTTATGTGACTAAGATGTAAAATTATAATATATCCATGCTATTGTAGTCATGGCCCTTGGGACTTTTTTAGACTATTTATCTTAGTGAAAATAAATTAAAAATTAGCTCAAAAAAAAGAAAAAAGAAAAAAAACAGGCCCCTCTCTCTTTCTTTCTCCACCATCGTAGTGTGTGTTTGGCTCCGCCTCTCACCATGTCTTCTCACAAGACTTTCAAGATTAAGCAATTCCTAGCCAAGAAACAAAAGCGAAATCGTCCCATTCCCCAGTGGATTCGGATGAAAACTGGTAATAAAATCAGGTACAGCTCCAAAAGGAGACATTGGAGAAGAACCAAGCTGGGTCTGTAAGGAATTGCACACGAGATGGCACACGTATTTATGCTGTCCGAAGGTCACAATCGTGTTACCATGTCAAGCTGAGAATGTCACCACTGTCTGGACAGTTGGATGTGTTTTTTTGGGAGTATGCTTTTTCTCTCTGAATCTGTTAGGAACATGCTGGTTGACTGGGTTCTGTAATAAATACGTGAGACCTTTCATTTCAAAAAAGAAAAATAGGCCTCCTTCCCAGGGGCTCCGGATTTCACCAGGCTTCTGTGCACGCCCAGCCATATAAACCGCACAGGGGTGGCTCCAAGTGCACTGTGGCCTCTTTGAACTGCAGGCCTTTGCACATCCCAATCCTTTTCCTCGCAATGCCTTTCTCATCTCTTTTCTCCTCCAGCTTGAACATCACTTCCTCCCGGCAGTCGCCCCTCTGCAGCTTCCTTTCTGCTCCCACAGGACCATGATGGGGAGGAGAGCTGGGGCGTGCAGGATGGAGGAGCTCTTGCTAGCAGACATTAAGACTCATGTCTTAATGTCGCACCCCTCTTGGGTGAGAAGGAGCCACAGGTAAAAAGACATAACCGAGCTTTTCAATGATACAGGTGTTTACTCTTGTCCTTGCGCTGGTGTCACAGGTGGCCCTGCTTGAACAGTAGCCCTGTAGGATATTCTGACCAAAGGTCTCAAGCCCTTCCTCCTTGGCCAGGCACCCATGCCCCTTCGCCATTCACTGAAAGTGGGAGAGGTGGGAGAAGGTAAAAGGGACTCTGTGGGTGGAGTCTTCAGGTCAGAGAAGGAGAAGCTGTGCCCGAGGGCTTGGGGAGCGGAGTGGATGAGCAGGTGGAGGTGGAGGTGGAGGTGGAGGTGGGTGTGTGAGCCCAGAACTGGCCCTGCCAGATGGCTGGTCCCTGAGTCAGGCCCAGGCGCTGACTGCCACGTGGGCAGTAGCCAGCCCCAGTCATGGGAACGGCAGGCGGAATCAGAACTCTCTCCACCCCTAGGAGGGCCGCACCTGCCTGGAGCTTCTCCTGCCTGGCCCTGACAGCCCTGGGCTCCCTCTGGGAAAGGATAGGGGCAGGGGCAGTGGCAAGGGTAGGGTGGGGTGGAACACTTGTTATCAGGGCAGCAGTTCCCAGCCATGCCTTGTAGTGTTTGGGCCCCTAGAATAACTCACAGGGATTGTCGATCAAGGCCACAAAGATCTGAGCCAGGCAAGGTCCAGGGAAAGGCTTTCCCAGAGCCTCCATGCCATCCCCAGGTGCCAACCTCCCTCCCCTTCCTCCCTGGAAGCCAGAGCACCACAATAAAGGGAGGGGGAGAGGTTGGTGATGCCTTCTGGGGAGTGGAAGCATTTGTCTCCCAGTCCCTGCCCCTTCTGTTCCCAAGTTCATGGGAAAGGACGACCTGTCCTGTGCCACAAGAAAGACTCTGGCCCTCACACCTGTCATTGTACCTCTAGTTGGGGCAGCCTTTTCAAAGGCCTGTGCTCCAGACCTGCGCCTCTTTCCTGCAGCCCCCCAGTTGGACCATCAAGGCCTGGTCCTGGGAACAGTGTGGTTAGTTCAGGGGCCTGTGGTTGAACTTTTGCTGCCATCCCACCCCATGTCCAGTGAAAGATATTCACCTCTCAGACCTTCCCTTGCACATGTGCTCACTCAATTAGTAGCCATTAAGGACCCAGCATGTGCCACATCCATTCTATATACTGCGGGGGGAGTCAGTGGGGAATAAAGCAGACAAAATCCCTGCCCCATGGAACTTCATTCTAGCAGGAGCGGGGTGGGGGAAGACGAACAGGAAACTAAACTTTACAGAGTATGGGAGAACAATAATTCTTAAACTCTCTCTGGTGAAAAACCAGTTGATTTTTTTTTTCCATCTGTATTTGAATTTTTGAGCAATGTCAAATTTAGAGATCCCCTAGCTAGAGATGTTATGGCATAGAAGCTTCCCAATGCATCCCCTCAATTTCTGTATATGTGTCCTCTTGCAGTGCTGGTCCACACTGTGTGCCAAGGTGACAAGAGCTTTGGGGGAAAGCAGGGAAGGACGAGAGGGATGAGAAGTTTGAAGCAAGGTGGTAGGGCTGCGGGAGAGTTGCAGTTTTAAAGAAGAGTTATTAAGAAGGTGACATTTGAGCAAATATTTGAAGGAGGTAAGGGAGTGAGTCATGCGTGTAACTGAGAAAGGCGCATTCCAGATAGAAGTTTTAATAAAAGGAAAGAGAATTTATAAACTTGAACTTCGACTGGTTGAAGCCCCCCAAGGGGTGAGGGGCAGGGGCAGGAAGCAAAAGAGCATTGTAGGAGGGACACGTGTGAAGGAAAGGCCCCACAAATCACCCCAGGCCCACCAGCATCCTGAGTGGGGCTACAGTTACATTCTACCTGGTGTCCCCTCTCCTTTCAGAACCTTCTTTCTTTACAAACCAGCTCTCAACACCTGATATGTGGGTCACTCACAACACAGGCTGTTCTTTTAATAAAATGACATTGTTTGCTGTGCTCAGCACATCTACCTCCAGCTTTGAACACAAGAGGTGCTTTAACCCAGGAGCTGGTCTGAGTCCTGCTTCTGCATCTATAGGCACAGGGCCATGACTGTGAAGAAGGTTCCATCCATCTGACTTGCTTCTGCATCTGAGCCCAGGTTATATGGCACAGAAGATGCGGCAGGATGAAGATTCCTTCCTCCATTGAATGCAATTCCACACCTGCTCATGCACACCACATGCATACAAACACTTTCACACCAAACACACAGGCATGATATACACTCATGGGCTTGTCCACATGCACACCTGCCACAAAAACCCAGCATAAGCCTCCAGGTACACAATATGGGCACGCACACTTATACACACACGTGCACACACATACACATTTTTGGAGGCTTGAATGCACACCCATGCCCAACACACACCCCTCAGGCAGGCACTCATGTGTCGCCTGAACATGGACTCACTCTTCCTACAGGAAAGTTTCTATTCTGAGCAAACACCCAGCATCTGCAGTCAATGGCAAACAGGTGAATGGGACAAAATTCACTCATGTGTCCTGGTGGCCCCACCAATACAGCCCTGAAGGAGCAGGCAGCAGGCTTGTTCCCTCACCACCAGGCCCGTCAGAAGGGCAAGACCAGGGTGGGGATCAGGTCTGGGTAGGAGTACACTCAGAGCTTCTGGGTACTGACTCAAGGTCAGGAGCCAATAGCCTTGTGCGTTCCTGACAAGTAGGTCACCATGACAAGGAGCACTGGCTCACATGCTGGGACCTAAAGTTGACTGGAAAAGACTTGGGAAAATCCAGCTGTTGTGAGACAGCCATTGTTAGTAGGTGTTGCTTTCCCGTGCCAGTGAGTTAGGTTGGGTCTATGCAGCACCAGAGCTATGGAGTGTGTGTCAGCGGCCAGGGCTCTTGCTCAGCACAGCAAAGACTAGGAGAAGAGGGCAGTGGCTTAGGAGGGATTGTAGTGCTGGGAAGGATGGGTGAGGCAGGGGACACATTATGAACAGTGTTTTTTTTTTAGCACACCAGCGTGTTAGGCACTGTGCTGGGTGTTTTTCATGTATTATCTTGCAAGATACAGCCCTGCAAGTTAGATTTTATTGCCTCCATTTTACAGATGAGGAGACTGAGGCTCAGAGGGCTTAAATAAATTACTCTAGGTCCTCAGCTAATAAGGGCAGAGCTGGGATATGAGTCAGGGCTTATCTGACTGCAGATCTCAGACTTTCTCAACACCATCATGTTGAAGCTAAAACTTGCATTTTAAACTGTCAAAAGCAAGACAGACCTAAGGAGACATGGTAACTAAAGGTACAGTGGTATCCTAGATGTGATCCTGGAACAGAAAAAAAAACCCACGAACTTTAGTTAATGACAATTAGCTGTGATACATGTACAATAAATTGTGTTACAAGTACTTTACTAGTGTAAAAGTGTTAATAGTAGAGGAAACTGGGTGCAGGGTATACAGAAACTATTTATACTATCTTCATAATGATTCTGCAAATCTAAAACTATCCTAAAATAATAGACTTATTTTTAAAACCTTGCATTTTTGCCAGCAACAGGAAGTAGTAGATAACCAACATTCCAAGGTGCAGCCTGTATATAAGGCCTGAAGAGGCCACGATCCCTGGAAAGTTTCTCAAAATAAGAGGCCATTCTGGACTTTGTACCACTGAGTTCCCATCACCTACATAACTTGAAATAGAGACATTAATTGCAGGGCTGTGATCACAGCCAAGGCCACCTTCCTAAATGGGGCAAAAGGGCACTGAAGTCAGGCAGAGCAGCTGCAAACTGGCATGAATTCCCAAGGCTGTGGCAGAGAATTCTTGCTGGGTGTGCCTGTACCTCCCTGACAATGTGGCCTGGCCAGGCTGATGTCCCTCCATTTTCTCAACTGTTGCCACTAGAATGTAGTGGGAAAAATGTATAACTCTTATACTTCTTTTGTTAATTTATTCTTAAATATCTTATTCTTAGTAATACTACTATAAATGTAATTGTTTTCTTGATTTCATTTTCTCATATTTTATTTCTAGTACATGAAATAAAATTCATTTTTGCATATTGATCTCATGTTTTGTCACCTTGCTGAACTTGCTTATTAGTCTTAATAGTTTTTTAGTGGATTCCTTAGGATTTTCTATATACTGCAAGATTATGGCATCTACAAATAGAGATAGTTTAAGTTCTTTCTTTCTAATCTTGATGCTTTTTATTTCATTTTCTTGCCTAAGTACTCTAGCCACAAGCTTCAGTACAATGTTGAATAGAATTGGTGGGAACAAATATCCTTGCCTTGTTCCTGATCTTAGGGGTAAAGCATTCAATTTTTCACCATTAAATACAACGTTAAGCTGTGGTGTTTTTAAAACAAAAAGAAAATAGTCGCCCTTTATCAGACTGAGGAAATTCCTTTCTATTCCTGGTTTGTTGAATGTTTCCATCCTGAAAGAGTGTTAAATGTTTTTAAATGCTTTTTTGGCATCTATTGAAATTATCATGTGGTTTAGTCATTAATTCTATTAATACAGTATATTATATTGATGTCCAGATGTTAAACCAACCTTGCATTCCTGGGATAAACATCATTGAGTCATAGGGTATATGTTACTATTTCATTGTTACTTTCATATATGTTACTATTTCATTGAGTATTTTTCCCACAAGAATGTGATCCAGGAAAGCAGGGCCACATCTGCCCCTGCTCACCA